CCCAACGCTTTCGTTTCCCGTGCCAGCGGAGGCTCCACCCAGCAGCGGGCAGTTTTACGGGGCACCACCACAACAGCAACAGCAGCCCTACGGCTATCCTCCACTATCATCGCAGCAGCCACAACAGTTCGACGCGGCTGGCTATCTTCAGCCACAGCAGCCGCAGCCACCCTACGGCTACTCTCCACTCCCGCCCGCAACGCAATACTATGGGCACGGAGGGCCATCTGCACTTCTGCCTCTGCCCTCTGCGCCCACACACCACCCCACACCACCGGCAACCACACCCGTCCCCTACCATCCCGCACACCAGCCGCCACCGCCCTTCGGTGGTCCACCAGCCACCTTTACTCCAGGCATGCCTCCTCCGCAACAGCCAACCCTCCCACCGCCAACGGCTCCCTACGATCCCTTTGCGCCCCTTCAGTTCCCTTCACATACCTACCAGTGATGTAGTGCAAGTTGTGAGTACAGAGATTGGTTTGTCGCGACTTCGCGTGTGTGTGTGCCGTGTTGTTTGTGTGTTCTCGCGAGATCACTCGTGGTGTTTGTCGTCGACCTCGTTCTTCACCCAAAAAAGAGAGGAGAGGAAAAGGAAGAGAAGACAAAAACTTTTATAAAAGAAGTGCAAGCTGCGCGAAGAGCAAAAGCGGCGATGGAGCAGCACCATGGTGGCGGCCACCCCGGGGTGCAGGGGCTGGGCAAAGCAGGCAAGCTGCTTCAACCCCACGAGCGGGCGATGGTGGAAAGTGGAGAGCTGCGCAACGTGACGCACCACGGCGCGTCGGCCATTTGGCTGGAGGCGGCTTCGAAGGCGCCCGGCCCCGGTCGCACGCTCGTCTACCGACCGATGGGCGATCTCGAGGCTCTTCATGTGGTTGCCCACAACCAGCTGCCCTCCACGCAGCCCTACCAGGCCATAATCGAGGGCGAGGCTGGGCGGACCTACGCCGAAAAGTACCTCGCCGGTAAGAAGTGGGTCGACACGGCCCCCACCACGGTCATGGAATTCGATTGCCCGGCGCAATTGATCGAAGCCCTGTTCGCCATCCAGCACAAACCCGAAGACGGTGCCATGTCGATGGGCCTGGGTCACAAGGCTGGTGGCGGTCTGCCACTCTTCAACCAGAGCCTCGCGGACGGGTCCACAACATGGCGCGTGGTCAAGGTCAAGCGACAGCACAAGGAGCGAGGAGGAGGAGGAGGAGCTAAAGACGGGCGTGAAGAGAGCGAGGGGGTTCGGGGACGAGCTGTGCGTGGCGGAAGAGGCGGACGAGGAAAATAAAGTAAAATAGTCTGTGTGGAAACCAGAAAGAAAATCATAAAAGGCCGCCACAGGCCAACCGCTGAACGACAAAGAGGACAATATTGCCCGAACATGCGGCCCGCAACTCAGCTTCTCTGAGCAACTCCGCCGCCATACCCGCCTGCAGCCGCCAAACTCTCAACAACCACCCCCAACAACTCAAGCGAATGGACTCAGAGTGCGCCACCAGCATCCGGCAAGGGCTCTTCCTGCTTCTTCTCGTTCTGCCCGCCCTTGTCCTTGCGCATGACCCCCGTAATCCCCCCCAAACCGCAACCACCACCCCTTGCACCTCGTCCCAGCTGCAACTAACCCCCTCGCTTCTTCTTGGCGAGCAGCGGCCGGTGGAGTTTCCATTGCCAGTTGCGGCCGCAAGAGAAGCTTGGACGGCACGGTCTCGGCTGCCTCGGCTTCGGGGTGCGTGTTGGCTCCGGAGATGACAGAGGGACCCTACTACTGGGACGACCAGCTCTCGCGACGCAATATCACGTACCCCCGTTCTCGCCCTCCAATCCCCTCCCTCCTCTCTGATGCGTGATATCCCATCAAGCACAACCATACTAACCCCCACCGTGCCTCGCGGCATGGGGAGCAGGGAAGGGCGACCTGGGGTGCCGCTCGTCCTGGAGCTGTCGGTGGTGAACGTGCACACTTGCGAACCGGTGCCCGATGCGGTGGTAGACATATGGCACTGCGACGCCTTGGGTGTCTACTCGCACTACACCAGCGCTGGCGTTGGCGGCACCGGTGGGATGCAGGGCTCCACCGATGCTACCACGTTTTTGCGTGGCGTGCAGCTTACCGACCCGCAAGGCAAGGTCACCTTCGACTCGCTGTACCCCGGATTCTACCAGGGTCGTGTCACCCACATTCACGTCAAGGTGCTTCTTGCCTGTCTGTGCCTGCTGAACTTGGCTCAACAAGCGATTGTGGTCACATTCTCATTGTATATGTTACGATTTGCATTGCGATGTCCAAAGGTCCATCTCAACACGAGCGTCGTGCACACCGGTCAGCTCTTCTTCGACGAAGACCTGAACACTGCCATCTACCAGCTGGCGCCTTACACACAGAACACGGCCACCCGTACCGCTCTCGATTCGGACGGGATCTACACGGGCACGGCCAACGCCAACGCCGGCCTGTTCGAGGACGTGCAGCAGATGCAGCCCTCGGTGGGCAATGCCGGAGGACTCTCGGCCTCTCTCACCCTCGGCGTCGACCCCACTGCTACTGGGAACGACGGCAGCATCGGCCTTCCTGGAGGCGGAGGCGGCCCTCCTCCTGGCGGCCGTCCAGGCTCGCCGCCCAACTCCACAACGGGTGGCGGCCAGACTGAAGATGACGACGACGACGACGACGATGACGATGACGATGACGATGATGACGACGATACCGGAGCCAGCGCTCTGTCGAGCGTGGTCATCATCTGTTGTTCGCTGACCGGCTTCGCGGCCATCGTCGGCGGACTCCTCTGGCTCAAGGTTCGCAACGAACGAGCTGGCTACGAGAGTCTTTGAGGACCAACGTATTACCAAGCCAATCGAGCAAGCCCTGGGCACGCCTGTCGGTCGCGGAACAAGTAAGCGGAGTTGTGCGCTGCACGCTATGAGTGTGTGCGCGCGTGCGTGTGCGTGTGTCGTAATGCAACATAGTGAAAGAGTGTAAACGAGCAAACTCTCGATTTGTGTTGGATATAAAGAGCTGTACAGAGAGATGCGTTTACTGCTTGTTTCCGTCCATGGTCGGCTCCGGCAGCTGCCGGCTCACTCGTTGGACCCAGCGCAGGCCGCCACGCCTTCGGTTCCGGAGTGAGCTTCTACCTCAGCCGAGGCGCTGGCCTCGGCTTGGACTACGCCGTCGTCCAGACTGACCAGCAGGATCTCCATGGTGAGGTGCATGGCAGCAAGGTGGTCCCTCATTCTGCGCAGCCCTATTCTGATGACGCTGTTCTGGCTTTGCGTCGCCCTGACCTCTTCCTCTATCTTCTTCTCGAGCTCAAGCTTCGCCTTGGCCTTCTCCTCCCTCCTCTTCTCCTTGCGCTCGCGCTCCGCCTCCTCGAGCTCATGCTTCGCCCTGGCCTTCTCCTCCCTCCTCTTCTCCTTGCGCTCACGCTCTGCCTCCTCGAGCTCACGCTTCGCCCTGGCCTCTTCCGCTATCTTCTTCTCGAACTCAAGCTTCGCTTTGGCCTTCTCCTCCCTCCTCTTCTCCTTGCGCTCACGCTCTGCCTTCTCGAGCTCACGCTTCGCCCTGGCCTTCTCCTCCCTCCTCTTCTCCTTGCGCTCACGCTCCGCCTCCTCGAGCCCACGTTTCGCCCTGGCCTTCTCCTCCCTCCTCTTCTCCTTGCGCTCACGCTCCGCCTCCTCGAGCTCATGCTTCGCCCTGGCCTCTTCCTCTATCTTCTTCTCCTCGAGCTCCTCACGCCTAACCTTGGCTTCCGTATCCCTTTTCCTCTCCTCGGATTCACGCTTGGCCTTGGCGTTCTTCCTCTCGCGCTCTCGCTGGGACTTGGCGTTCGCCTCCTTCTTCCTCTCGCGCTCCGCATCGGCCTTCTTCTCTCTCAATTCCAGCTCCTTGACTCTGTGCCTGAGTAGAGTAGTGCTTAATAACCCAAGCAATGACAGCATGTTTAGTGCAAAGCAGGATCGATCGGTACCGTTGCACGTGCTTCTCCAGCTCCCCTGATTCCAGCACGCTATAGACATGCGTGGGCGAAGCTTAGAAAAGCATGAGCCGAACGAAGTGAAGCACAAGTACGTACGCATCGCGAAGCAATCGATCTGCAGGCGCCACCGCCTTCATGTCAACGTCGCAGAGTTGGAACGAGTAGAACCCACGTAGTTTCGCTTGCATGCACGAGGTAGAACGGACATCATCGAGCTCTTCGCAGTCGCTAAACATCGTTATGAGAGGCATCCTGTCGCCGTGAACGAGTCCCCTGGCGATGAGGCTGGCATTGACTTGCTCCATGACGGAAGTCCTTGTCTCTGCTGCGTGCGGTTCAGCATCACGAGGAACCACTACCGGCATGCGGCAGTTCTCGGTGGAGTAGGTTGCCCACATCTTTATATTTCCTGCGTCCTTTTCCATCACGATGTAGTTGGAATTGTGCTTCTACAAAGTTTGTTGTTGAAGAAGGGGAAGATGCGCCTTTTTCCAGGGGTATGCTGAAAAAAGGAATATGGACAAGAAAAGGAAAAACACCCAGCAGGGCACAAGGACGCCAGGGAAAAAGGCCTTTGGGCAATTGGTCATGGAGAGAGGGTGGTAATTCACTCCTTCCGAAGTGCCTTGCGTCGTCGATCTTGGCCTTGAAGGTGAGCCACCTGGTCCGAGGACTACTCCGTGGCCAGTATGTGTGTACGCATCTCTATTGCGTTCTTGTGTGTCACGCTACGTGGTTCAGTTACAGGCTGAGTACGTGCACCACCACCAGAGGCGGACGCAGGCCTCGGCCCACGAAAAAGTGACACCCGGCCCCGCCGCTGCGATCATTCCCGGCTCCCGTGCGCGCTTGCGGCTGCCCGCCTGGGCCTTCTTAGTGATGTAGAATAAGGCGCTGATGCCCAGCACGTCAGGCACCAGGGCCATGAGGGAAAGAGTGAGACCACGAACAAGAAGTCGTCGTCGGCGCTCAGCACGACCTCGCTCCCTTGCGGTGGTGAAAGCAAGGCCGCGTGGTGTTGAACGCAACAGCTAGGAAGCGATACGCCTGTTGTCCGACTTGTGGGCTGGAGCTGGGCGAGCGGCCATCGACAGCCTGTGGCGGCCGCTCACACACTAGAAACGCTGTCCACAGCGGCGCCAATGACCACCTCCATCACCAGCAGCCCGACATCTCAAGGGCCACGACGAGAGCGTGCGTTGAGGACATCTTCCTCAAGACGACTGGCACCGGTGCGGTCCGCCAAGGAAAGAAAAAAAAACGGAGAGAAATGTTTGTGATTATTCATTTATTTTGGCGTCAAGCGAAGATGGACACGACAGCGTACAAGGATGGGCTGCGGGGATGGCTGCGCGCGGTCGACGCCGAGGACCTCTCCTTCTCAGGAAAGCCTGCTGCACATGTACGACTGTACTCAACGCACCGACCCCGCTCAATCTTAGCTGCCGGGGGTTAACCCCGATCTTCTAACCGCGGGACCCCCTTTTGCCATTCCATTAGGGCATAGCTGTCGAGGGGGATGCTGTTGTCGCCAAGGACAAGGTACGGCGGTCTGCGTCTTTTCATTGCCGCCCCTGTGCGTCGTCCTTGCACTGGCGGCGTTGCACTGACGATACATCGTTGGTGCCACCAGGGCAACGACTGGTTCAAGAAGAGGGACTACGGGAAGGCGGTGGAGTGGTACACGCGCAGCTTGCAGCTTGACCCTTTGAGTGCCATCACCGTGGCCAACCGTGCGATGGCGCATCTTCAACTAAAAGAGTACGTACCGCCTTTGTCTCCTTTTGCAGCAGCATCAGCATT